ATTTGAAATGACAAATACGTCGTTGTATGAGAACGCGCTAAAGAGAATGAAATAGAAAATTTCACGCATTAAATGGACCCTCGAGATCAATTAGATTAATGTAACTGGAGAAAACAATTTATATGCGCCAAATTTAAAAAAAAAGACATTTCATCATTTCCCATCATGTGTCCAAGTATTAAAATATCATGTACAAAAGTACTGTTGCATAAACCAAAGATTATATATGAATATTATATATAACTTATATCAAATATTTATTAACTGAGCTTTGTGGGAAAACGGATGAAAATAATAACCGCTGCTCAAGAAAAGGATAAAATATCTTTGACGGAGATCGTCATATGTGCAGTTAGTTAAAATTGAACAGAGCATTATATGATTTACAATGAACATTAATTATACTCGCATTTAAAGAATTTATTCCCATTTTCTGTTTGCAGCTTATTTCTTTCCGAACTATTAACGCAATTTTAATGTCTTTATTCATCAAATTTCAATATTAAAATTGAATAAACTATCCAAAAAAGATTTTAGTTGCATAATCGCAAGATAAATGATTAGTTATTATATAAGGTAGTAAAAAATGTTAAATGAGCAGTTTCTATTCAGAGCCAATATATTAATTTGCGCAACCAATATTATTTTTATAGTATGCAAATTTTAAAATCCCTTGAATATATAAATCTTCGTTCATATATATAAAACAAAACATAACTTTCCATCTGAATAAATACTTGTTCAAAGAAGCTTATAAAAATACTCCTCTAATGAAAAATAGATTATCAAATTTAATGTAATACAAAAACAAAAAATTATATGGAAATGATTTATTAACCAAGAAAAACAGTACATACAGTATTTTTAATGGTTTATTGAACGCTTATAATTTAACAAAAGCAGATTAACTTGTGATTATATCAAAGAATTGGAATCCATCGACATGGATGCCAAGTGAAAGATGCACAAATAATTTAACATTCCCCCCCCCCTCCCACATCCCGCCATAAATATAGTTAGAATGTAATATTAATAATTAATTATATTTCCTTTAATTATTAGTTTTTAACTATCCATCGTTAATTTGTAGAAAATTATTTTTCAAAATTAATGTTCAATCTGTTTTTGATTATTATAATTAAATTTAGCTTGATAATGAACGAATTTTTAAATAATTTTACAAAAATTAATTGCTTCTCATTTTCCGATTATTTAGAATTATAAAAACATCAATTTTAATATAAAAAAAAATTATTTCTCGTATTGTAAAATTGCTGGATTGTCAAAATTTTACAAACTATTTATTATCATTCTTATAAAGCCAAAGTCTCGAAAGAACTATATTTACTAAAAGCACAAGAAACTTCATTACTTTAAACTCATAAACTCCCATACAAATTTCAACAAAAATACATTAAAAAAAAAAAAAATAAAAAAAGAAACGGGGGAGGGAAATAAAAAAAGAACGGAAAAAATAATGATAAAGAAAATTCGCACTCACTCAAAAGTTTTTAAGCAAGTAACTGCATCGACGTCGATAAAAGATTGTTCGGCGAAAAACGAGAGAAAACGACAGAAACGAAAATGCCCTCCGCGATTCTACAACATCTATACGAGCCGAAGTGGAAGGGGGCAATTGCATTACACCCGGCGTTCGATATACTCCGGGAATTTCCCTCTGCCGTTCATTCCCTTCTCGGCTATCATAAAAAGGACCACCTGCCCATTACACACGTAAGGCTCGGGAATTTATGAAAGAGCTAATGCACACCAGATGCCGATGATGTAACATAGCACTTTCTCTATTGATAAAAAAAAAAAAAACACGCGTAATTTTCAATTACGAAATATCGCGTCTCCCTCCTTATAAGCGATATTTTCTTATTCTTTGGCTACGCAAATCCTTTATCTTATGTACATGTTGCAGTGCGTAAAATTGATGCAAATTTGTAAGTAAGTATTTTTTAAAATTTTGTACTTAATAAACGAAAGATCGAAAGATAATATCAGATTTCCCATTTCAAAATAGAAAATTTTTTAAATGCGACATGAGAATTTCAATTTCGGATGCTTCTCATTTAAGCGAACATGAACATTTAATGTTTACGACAGATCATTAGGTTTATATTATTAGTACGACTAACATTAGAGTTTATATGAATGTTATATGATTTATATACATGGAAGGTACTAATGAAAAATTATTTGATTAAACGAAGTTATTTTTAGTAATTTCACGAGTTATGAGAAAAATTACGGTAATTACAATATGTACTATCCCTATTTGCGTTATTCTGTTAAAAATTCTACGAGCGGGAGATATTTGTATAATACAAAATGTAAGTAAATTAAACTAAATAGAAATATAAAAGTATATCGAAAAAAAAAAAATAAAAAAAAAAATTATTGTAATTATTTCGTATTTACCTTTGGCATAAATAAAACTCAGCTTGCTGCACAAGTTAACACTATTCCATAATTACAATACAACAAATTTAATTATAAAGCTATTTTATTATATTGTTTCTTCAAAATAAGCAACGCACATTATTTTCACATAAGTATTTAAATTTATTAGAATTTCAATTTTTAATTCCAAGTTTACCAGCAAATTTTATCATTCATTCGTACAGAATCAAGAATATTACATTTTTACGAATACTTACAAATATATATACAAAAAAAAAAAAAGAACAAAAACCTCATCGCTATTGGTAAGTAATATTTATATAATTTAATTTTGTTTCAACATAATATTATACTTAATAATTTTCCAACGTAAAATAATTTTTCAATGTAAATAATTATAATACTTGCCGCAGCTTCAATATTTATATCGTAACTAATTACTATTAAATTTTTTTCCTTTATATGTAAATGTAAACATTTTAATAACGAATCCTTTTATATTTTTACTCGTAGGTTAATTATTAATTTGTATTTATACTCTTTATTAATATATATATATATATATTATAGACAAAATTATATAATATCGAAATTAAAACGGAATATGAGAAATCAAATATAATTCTTACAGTATGTGAACATACATTGATCCATAAAAAGTAAATTTAACTAAATTTTATATTAAAATTATAACAACAAAATTATCTATAGTAGTAACATTTTTAAACAAATTTTTTTTTTAATCTTATCTCTTTTATACAAAAACTCGTAAATGTTCATTAATAAATTCAGCAATAATAAATGGCTGTACAATATTGACATCTACATTCAAAATAGTAATTATAGTTCATATTTTTAATTACGTAAATGAGATATTTTATGAGATATTTTCTGTTTATTTTATGCACAGAAAAGATAAATAATTGCACAGATTTCTTTTCTAATCAATAAATTTTATTTTGCTTTACTAGATGCAATAACACCAATCAATAACTACAATCGTTTGCAAACACACATATATATATAAACATATACATAGATATAAATATAAGTTGAAATAGGCGAGGTTAATATAAATCAATAAAATGCATCTATTTGGCTAAAGAATTACTTTAAAAATAATAAATTTAAAGACATTTGATTTAGATCTTTGGAAACAAAATGATATTAATAAATATTTACTTGTGCGTAAATTTAGCAATAAAAATAAATATTTTAATTACTTCAATTTCTTTGTTTTAAATTATATTTGCAAACAGAACTGTTCTTTTTATTAATAATGAAAGAAATTATATTAATACAGGTACTTTAATCTATGATTTGTAAATTGTGCATTATACATTATTTAAATTATATCTTTCTAAAATATTCGTCTCATTATAAATAATTATTAAAAATGTATTAGTGTGATTTTGATTTTTTTTTCAACACAATAAATTATATTAAAAAATTCAAATATTATTTATATGTAAAGATTATACGGAATTTTTATAAAATTTAAATAAAACAATAAAACATTTAAAAAGGAATATAACATTTATTATAATCATTTATAAAATTTTGATTAGATATATATTGGCTACAGTATAGAATTAAAAATCTTGAATGGTGATAAAGTCGATGGTGATAAACTCGAAATACCTTAATATATTGTAAATTTTGAGATAATTACATTTCATTTGTAAAACGCGGTTCTTTTGGTTTCGCATTGGGCATAATTTTTATCATCGTTCAATTGATAATCCATAAAATATTTGCAATTTTTATATATTTAAAAAAAAAAGACCAGTGTTGTTGAAAATGCTTTATATTTTCATAAATGGGCAAAATCGATTATCTTTAGTAATGATTCTTATAATGGGGGATAAAATAAATTTGAAATGTAGGAAATATAGTATTAAAATTTTTTTTTTAATTAAAAACTATTAAAATTCTTATAAATTTTACTAATCTATGCTCATACACAACATTACATCATTTACATCAACATAAGAAATTGGTTTTTTCCTAATAATCCTTGAAAATATAATAATTTAATTTTTTATAATATAAAAGCAAAGGACTTATCAATCTTAGGTTGCAATCCTTGCCTTCAATCCTGCTAATCCGTCAATCTTTAATGCACAAATCCATTAAAGGGCTTTTACTTTTCAACCAGCAGCTTTGCACCTCATTCATCAATCTCAAATCTGTTCAACAGAAAATGTCATGTACCTCCCAAGTATCGAGTGTTTACATTTATCTCCGTCCCTTATTCTTTATAGTATGGAGCCTCCTAGTATCTTAATCTATGTCATTTCATTAATACCTTCATATTTCATTAATAAAAAAATTTTAAATTATCTATATTCGTATATTTGCCAATAAACACTGTTATATTCAAATAAATAATACCCTGTCTAAAGCGAGTTAGCTCTATAAAAATTGGGTATAATTTGAACATTTCTCGACTGACAATATACTTTTTTAGAATAAATGGTGTTAATTCATCAACATTATAAATTGACTTATAATTACAACCTCTTAATTTATATATTCAAATTTAATCTATAAATAATAGTTCAATGATGTATGCATATGTATAGGCTATAAAATCATTATTCCAAATTTATCCTCCGGAACTTTAATAATCTAAATAGAAATAAATTTTATCTTTGAACAATATTAATTATATCAATAAATTTTATATAGTGAATAACTATTATAACTCTATCTGAATAGAAATCATTTCATTAGAAATCAACTTTATCTGTATAGAAATATGTGTGTGCGTGTGTGCGTGCGTGTGTGCGCGTGCGTGCGCGTGTGTGTATTTCTAGATTTATAAAATCAATTAAATTAACATGCCCGAAATTTTTTTAATAAAAAAATATAATGATTTTCATATATTTTTTATAGTTAAAAATAATATTTTTATAGTTAAAAGTCATAATAAATGTCTATTATATGACTTTAGTAATTATACATATAAAGTATACATATAGTTTTATATACTATAAAAATTCACTTTTTAGGCATTCATTGTTTTAACAATTAAACGCTTAAATTTGTATAATTTACGAATTTTATAAAGGGATATTAATAACTTGATTGGATAATATTAATTACTTTCTCAATAACTACCGTAGCCATTTTCATTGGAGTATCGTTTTTACTATAACGAGACGAGTCTGACTGCCTGACTGCTAGATTAATAGAGCTAGTGCAGTTGTACTATTCTATATGAATTATCAGGTAATTTCATATCCTTTGAGTTGAATTCACATTGAAGTGCTTTTCAACGTTCGTTGGCTAATTAATGATCACCAACATCCTTTCAATTGATGCAAATTATGATTTAAGTAAATCTACCAAGTCTATGTTGTTTGTTTAATTATTGTGTAAAAATTTTGTTAATATTTATTATCATTAATTTCATACTTAAAATCTCTTAATATTTACATTATCTCGTAATTTGTATATTATAACGAAGGATAAATTTTAATTGAAAAAAAAATATATATATATATTTATTTATTACTTATTACATAAAATTACTTTTAAATGAAT